ACTGTGGAATTTCCATTTGATGTGGAGGCTTCTGTAGAGAGGCTTCGTGGTTGAATAGCTCCGGAGAGGGTCTGTGGCCAGGGAAGAGATTTCTGACGTCTTTGACCGAGTAGAATGTATGTGGCTGTGATGTTATTGAAGCGTTGTTTGGTCAGGGAATCATGTATGTCACTGCGGGAGAAACCCATGTTGGCCATCCATTCTGAAGGAGTGGAAAAGACAAAAATTTATGAAACATTTCTTGTGTTTAAATTATGAAAGAAGTCAGAAAAAAGAAGACGATTGTTTATTAAATCTAGTTTCTTAAGCGATTCTAGAAAGAGTTAAAAGCCGACAAAGGGAAATCTGGAGAATCGCCTTAAAATTGAAAGCCAAACCGGTTATGCAAATTTAGGACGAACATGACCGTGTAATTAGATTATTTACGATTAAACTGACTAAGAAAATCATCGGTGCACTTAATTTTCTTTTAAACGCTAAAAATAGAATTAATGATTTTTAAGGATTATGACAATAACTATCAGTGATAAATAGTTCAAAGTTTAGAAATTCCATGCCTGGATATACAATTGCGTGAATTAAATCAGCTTTCATTAACCAACCTAATGTAATTCTAGCCAAAAATGGCAAAATAGCAGTAGAGAGGAAAGCGAAGGCAAATTCAAAGAAGTGAGAGAAGTTAATAGAACACTATGTCCAGTTGATTTGAAAAAAAATGTTCAATATGCAAGGTTATTCATTAGGTCGAACAGAAGAATTTCTCAATTAAACTAATATTATCAGTATAAATGCGAAAAAAAGCATAAAAAGTAATACTATCGACAGGGGAAAAAATTTGAACAATTAGTATAGCATCGTTTTCCATTGACACCACCTTCCTCGTGTGACTTCAACTTCGAACTCTTTTGAAGTCTTTAGAGCTTTCGAGGAGTCATTTTGAGCAGTGCATCTGTTGTGCTAGAGACTTTTTCGTGAAATTTAGCAGAGTTATTTACTTGAAGTTTTAAATGTTCAGAAAGAATATTATGGCTTTTCTGATGACTGATTCTTTTGCTAAAGAGCAAAGTATCTCAGTCGCCGAGGTATGAATACTACAAATAATCAACCAGAAGAGAGTAAACAATTTTTTCAGAAATATGCCGGCGGTGATCGTTTATTTCACAGACGGTTAATAATCTGCTTAATAATTATGATAAATTGCCAGTTTGTCCAAAAGCAGTATTTCTCTAAAATTTAATTTCGAATTCATATTTTGTCAAAACCATTACCCAGCCCCGAAGATGGTTGAAATGCATTTCTTGGGTTCGAAAATCGGTAACAAAGGTTTATAGTCTGTCAGAAGAGAAAGGTAACGACCACCGACAAACTTATGATAATTCTTCAATTCATAGATAATGACAAGAGCATTTTTCTCAAAGTGCTCATAATTCTTTTCTGCTAGTGTTAGCGAACGGGATACATAGATCCCAGAAGTTTCGGGTTAATCTGGAAAAGCATGAGATCACAGTTTCTACGCTGTGACTTGTAACCACCTGGTGTGTTGATTATTGGCAATTCTGAAACATAATGAGTCAAAAGTGTGTTTTTATTGCCGAACAGATTTCGATTTAACAAATGCTCTTTGATAGTCAGCACATCATTGCCAATCAAAGTCATTTCGAGGGAGACAGTTCAATGGTCCCCGAACTTTATGGAAGGAAATAGAAAACTGCTCTAGAAAGTGACTAATCCTAGGAATTAAAGAAGGATTTGAACATCCGGTTCGGGATGGAGGGTCCAAAATAGGTCAAATTCGTTTAGGACCAGGATAGCAATATACAAAGCCAAAAAAACAAAGACAATATAGCTAGTGAAATTTTAGAATTTTATGATCCCAGATTGAAAACAGTAAACAGCAGATATTCTAGTTGTTCCATTGGTTCTTTTTGCTTTCATTCACCCCCTATAACACGGACAGCAACATATCACATCATAGTGTGCAGTTGTTTCGCTTGATGCACTAATCATGAAATCCATAATCTGCTAGTGGATAGCAGAACTATTTTGACTGTCACTCGAATTGCAGATGATCCATTGGTAAGGAAGCAATTGAGCTGCCTCAGCAGAAGATCATACTTATGCTGATGTGTCAAGACGTATTTTCAGCACACTGTTAGTGTCAATAACGTTGACAGTCAAGCTAGTTTCTTAATTTCTAGGTATTACCAGAAGTTTTGATTTTGGCTTCAGTACTAGGGAGTTCAAGAATCCTTCCCTAAAATTAAAGTGATACAAGATTACATATACAACCGCATATTAGAACCCCAGACTTTAAAGGTTAAACGGACAACATTGCGGGAATTAAAAGATACATCGAACTTCACTACCATCTTCTTCTCGTTTAAATGATTCTTCTTATAACTCCGATATTTCGTTCCTTTATATTCTTTCTCACCTCTAACATTGCAAGTGTGAATTCTGTAGGGACAATCTCAACAATAGCACATTTCTTGTTTAAAACAATTTCCTGACTGTTCCTTAGTCTTGTTGTTCGTACAATTCTTATGACAGCTATGGTTACAGGCGTTCCGTTGAAACCCTGAAAAATGTTCTTTCTTCCACATTCATCACCTAAATCTCGTAAAATGATAACCTCGATTTAATTCAGTCACATTTATAATTCTTACACGGGGTGTATGATAGACTTACCTCCATGTGAGGCACCCTGAGCAACGTATACTCATACGGCGAAAATGCCTATTAACCGGCAGTTGACTTCTGACTTAAAACTACCGTGGCCCAACTGAATGTCAAATTCGATCGCTTCTACAGTACTTATCTTACCTTTTCCCTGCCTTTCGTCTCTCTGTCTATTTACATCGGTGAATTACTCTTTTTCCCCTCGAATTTTTTTCACTTTGAAGCCCCCCCCCTAGTGTTAAGCTCGAAGTCAGCTAAAGAGCTAATGATAACTATCAAAACGGCTGCCAATCGAAATAAATAAATAATTCTTACACGGACAGCCGGGAAATAGAAATCCAGCAAACCACGAAAAAAAAACAAAAGGCGCTTAAAATTCGATTGTTCAAAATTTTCAATTTTCCGAACAGAACAAACAATCCGAGCTTTAAGTGGTCTTTCAGTCAATCCCGGACATTTGAATAACTTGCGAAATTTGATTAGGATGATTGGAAAGTTCAATTTCTTGCCATTCGAGGTCTTCAACCAAGAAGGAGAAGGAGTCGAACTCCTTTCTCTTCAGATATGACAGCTAGCTCACTTCTGAGGCCATGAACGCATTCATTAAACTAGGCACCAAAAAAAAGACTTCCATCTAGATCATGGTGTAATTCACTGCCATGCAAAACAAGGTTGTCTGAGTAGAAGTGAGGGATCGACTTAGCTGGTTGGCCAGGATTTAAGTTCAAACGCTTCATGAATTGATCAATTCGTCTAAAGGAAGTCTTCCTAAATGCTTTTCAAAGTTTTCACCATTTTATACCATTTAGGAGGAAATATGATCGGCAAGAGTATTTTTAAAAATCACATTACCAAATAATGCAATTTCAGCCAACAATCCAAAAAATAAACAAAATAGCACTAGAACGGCGAAGCTTTATATATATCTATATACCTATCAATGTCCAGTTACCTCCGAAAAAACTATGCACTCTAAAAGGTTATTCATTAATTCAGATAAGCAATTTACTAATAAAACGCTACTTTCAAATGTAAAAAGGAGACAAATATAAAAGATAATGTTCATATCGCCATGGGAGAAGCAGCATTAATTTGCGCAGTTTCGTGTTCTCCTTTGACACAATGTAAATAAAAACATTTATTTCTGAAAAAAAACGCCTACCCTCTAAACAGTTCACATGAATTATCCGAGCTTTTGTATATAACTTTTGCTCTACAAAGTTTTCCCTAATGAAAATTATAAATCGTGGTTTACCCTCTTCTGATAAGGATTTCATCTACATTCACTAGCCTATAAACCAATCATATCGCCCAATCACCACTAAAATTGGTCAATAAATACATTGGTCGAATTATACATTTCATAAACATGATAGATTTCCTTCAATTTCGATAAAAAATCGAGCCTATTAAGATGCACTACCGTTAATAATGCAATGGTCCATGAGTCATGCAATCGGACATATAGGGAGTGTAAAGTTACACCCAATTTTACTTCCTGATGGCGAAATCACTAAGAAAAGATGAGGGATAGCAAACTTACGAATTCTCTCGGGATCATTGTAATTGGGAAGGTCTTCTTTGTAAGGCTGTAGAGTATTGTCTTCAAAAGTAGTGTTCAACCACTTGTCCTTCATAATCTCCTAAACAAAGTAGAAAGACAACAGTAGAACAACAAAATTATACCATTATATGCGAAATTTTAAATGAATTTCGTCGTTGAGGAACAAAAAACTGCATACTAAAACTCTAATGAATAAGGTTTGTTAAATATAAATAAAACAAAATGGTCGAAAAATGAGATAACTAAACACTGAATTGAATCAGGTGCTGATTGGGTGATTTTGAGGGTGACTAGTGTTATTGAATTTGTGGTAAGAAATTGGTAAAGCATGAGAGAGCTAAGTACGCGATACAAAAGGGTGAATGTTTGGAAGGAAGGGCTTTAACTTACAAGAAGGGAGGCTCTTTTAGTGGGGTTGAGAACGAGCATCTTTCTGAGAAGCATTTCACATTCGTGAGACATGTAGAAGGGCACACGATAGGAACCTCGGAGAACGCATTCACGCAATTCCTAAAATAAAAGAGGCAAATTAGTCAGTTGGTTAGAGCGTGTTTGTTCGAAAACATTGACACTTTAACTGATTACTTATTCACGTGTTAAGGTAGCTTGTATTCACTAAGCTTTTGCATACTAAGTGAAGAAAAAAGGTAGAGCAGAAAAGGAATGAGACCATGTTGACATAAAGCACATTTCGCTCCTACAGTGTATTGACTAATTACAGATAAGGCAAACTAAGTTGTAAGAAAATTAATATGGTTGTCAACGGTTTATCATTATTATGATATTTCCAACTAGAACAACAACGAGATTCTGACTATTTGACGTTTCCTTATAATACTTATAGACAATATTTCCAATAACTTTGTCTGCACAAAAGGAATAGGCATTTTTAATAAGGCAAGGAACAATTTATCTTCTGTCTGAATATGATTATGCATGGTAGCCGAAGGTTAAATAAAGGTCAGAACAAGATTCAAGTAGCATGACTTGGTCATCAAAGCACATTCAGTGAATGGTATTACTTAAAATAGATCAAGAAAGGCATGTTAGAAATTGAATTTTTACAGGACGCTATTCTATTTAATACGAATGTTGGAAGTTAACGTCGGTCGTGTGAAATATCTTCTTTATCTCTACAGTATTTCTATTTTACTTTTGTGCCCTTTAGTGAATTCATCAAAAAATATTGTTATAAACTTAATAATGCTCTCATATATATTTTTCGATGGAGATAAACTTTTCAGAAACAATTCTAAAGAGTAATGACCATTTAAAATAATAAATACACTACCACTATAAAATAGCACTCTAAAGTGGTTGTCCCACCATTTCCTCTGCAATTTCCCACCACTACTTCCGGTAAGTAGGACTATTTCTGTTAGCTGGATTCTTTTAAGGACCAGCAACATTTGAGATTCTTCCTGTGACAAATAGGTAGATAAATCTTTCTCCCTACTGAAAAATGCCACGAAAAGGGGCCTCTCTGACCGAATCAAAAGCGAAATATTGCCAATTTCAACGTAACGAATGAAATTAGCAGAAAGATAACTAATCAAGGTATGAACACTTTTGAAGCCTCGAAAGAACACAAGTACGCCAAAAGAAGGGGGCGATATCATGGTTGTCATGGTTTCATGTAAAGACACAATAAGCCAATCGGGGGTTGGTCTGAAGGTCATTTAATTAAAGCAACTATGCTTTCCTCATAGAAGAAAATATTGAAAGTTACTGAGGTTTACTTCCTATAAACAGATTGCATAAATAGAGAAATACTAGAGGAAAGAGTAAAACGGACAGTCTGGTTAGAACAATCAGTTCATTTATCAGTGAAATAGAAGCCAATGGAGAGACAAATGGTTCGTGCTTGTTTATTCTGAGACAGACGTGACCGTAGCTCGAAAGAAAGAGAGCGCGCGCTCGGACTAGACCAATTAATCAGCGTAAATAGTGGCATTTGAAAAGAGTGACTCTATAAAGTTGGAGTCGAATTTGAATATGGTTAATTTTGTTGAAAGAGATAAATTATGAATCAGCGCAAAGAAAAAGTCAATATTGGAAAAAACACCAACTACTTACAAAAGAAGAATTTCAATTTTTTCAAAATATGTGCACATAATTGACGCATGGGAAATTTTTAAGAACATGGCGTGGGATCAGATCTCATTCTACTTGAAGGAAAAAGAAATTAAAGGAAGTATTCAAGGTCTCTACACACCACGATAATTCTTTTCTAATAAACGCTCACTTTTATGCTTACATTCGTAGGCAAAACTTTACTTTTTAACTGTAAAAAATGACGTTGAACGATATCATAGGCGTCTAGTGAGGAAGAGGAACCACATAACAGCGGGATATTATTAATTAAATTAGATATGTGATTATCAATGACGAGATACCGAAAAGGTAATACAGCGTTGAAAATTGTTCTTCCTCAGACATGCGCATGAAGGAACAGTAATCGAAAAAGTAGATGGTCAAGAGAAAAACTCTGCTTAGGGCACTGAAAATATATAAATCTAATACCTATCGTCAAGGTCAGAGTTTGATATGAATCTCATTAAAATAATAGCTTAAAAGGGGCATACGATATTTTTGATAGCAATCTATTAACCCGAGTTTAAGTTCATAAGAAATGGAAAACAGATAGATTTTTGTCTAGCTAATGGAATTTAGTGAAATGATATTTTGGGATTCGAAAGCTTTTACAATATTTTTACCAACAAAAAGCGTACAGGAATCATTGATTTCATCAATAAGTATTTTTCCTTAAACGATTAGTTTTATAAGAGAGTAACAATCCCTCAAAGTCCCACTAATATCTACAAAAGAACTTAGCTAAGATTATTTAGCAAGTCTCCGTCAGAAAAATGAATTACTTTCTTAACGTGAACTTGATGTTGGCGAAAGTTAATGGGAAGGCAACAGAGGGTGATAAAAGCCAAAAGCAGATCAAAGACCCTTTGATTCAAAAAAGTGCAAAGATGCTTCGAATTCCTTAGCTGACGTTAAAAGAGGGGGGGGGGGTATAAGGATTCTGCCACTTAGAAACTATTAATGGAAGAAATAATTTCTACCCGTTGGATTAGGCTTCAATTTGATGGATAATAAAGTACGGTAGGAATGAGCACGTGCAGAAAGATCAAAACTACCGAGAAGGAGGTAAAATTACGCGAGATTTACGACGTTATTGGACTAGCTAGTTGCGAATAGAAAGGCCCAATGCCTTCTAACAATTGCGTAAAATGCCCCCCCCCCCCCCCCCCCTCGAAAACATGGATTTAAAGCATTGATCTTGGAAAGAGGGAATGCAAGAAAACTGCCGTGTATGAAACGGTGGCACAGTAATGCTTTTGGTCACTAGGTTAAGAGAACAGATGACTCATGTCTCTCAAGATTTATCAACATGCTATTAGTATTGTAACTTTCCTAATAAATGCATACTTAATCCTGTATTATTGTGGAAGAATCGGGAGGTACCAAAGCGTTAAACAGCTGGCATTATTCAAAAAATGTTTGCATTTTAATGCTGGATGGCATATTTACGCAAAAATTTGAAATTGATATTACCAATGAGCTGGCAGGGCACTGTTTAATATATAATCCTATATGACCTACATTGAATGCCGACTTTGAAGGTAGTATCGTGTTATTACGGATAAAATTACTCATAACATGATAGACAAATTCCGTGATAAAATGTTAATAACAAATATGATTGGAGTCACTTGTTTGAACACTAAATTCAAAAAGGAGAAGAATAGGGTGGAGGCGATAATTGTGGGAGACAAATCATAAAAGCCCTTGTCAAATGAGGCACAGTTTAAAACAATGGCTAGGTTGAATTTTAAAGGAACGTTGAGAGCAAAAATCACGCACATGTCTACATAACTGTGAGCTAAAGACGAGCAGAAAATGAAAAAATTACAATAGAGCGAAAAGAAGCATTAGAAGTGATAACAGCATTGATTCGACTGCTTCCAATGGCAATATTAATCTGGGCATTTTTGCCAAGCAAACAAATAATCACTCATATGGGAAGTGGTTTGAAGGAAAGGCCCTTAACCAAATTGACCAAAGCGAATATACTTTATCTTCAGTAAAGACTTGCCTTTAAAAGGCTATCCTATACTCTTTGCTTAGTTTTAGATAGAAAGTTATGCTCAGATCATCCATTTGCTAAGATCAAACACGATTCTAAAATAGGCCTTAAGGATAACAAATCTGAGCGTACTATTGAACCGAAAATCAATTTTTCGAAACAGAAAGGGAGGAGGTGAGGAGAAAAGAAGATGACGTTTAAAAAATAAAAATGCCAACACAATCACTAGATTTTGTAAAACGAAAGCAGTTTGTGAAAAGTACAGGGAAGATATTTTTGTTTTAATCTAAAATCTGTTGCCGAGGGCAGAATTATGGTAAGACTTCCTCTCCCCCTCATTGTACAATTTTTTCTCCCCCTTAGTTCATATTTTCAGCCTTTGGATAACCCTATACAAATTAAGGCTTTCCATTCTATATTGGCTTACCTATAAAAAAGTCGTAATTAAATCCTTCGAGAATAATAGAATTCGCGATTGGGTATGCGATGCGTGTGATCATCAGAGAAATGAATCATCATGTGAAAAGTTCTTATATTAAGAAGTGTGTAGATAGGATTAGGGTTAGTTATATTTGACTAGATTACATGAGTATAAAATCTAGACCGGCTACTAGAAAAACGTATTTTATTTTGTCAAAAAAACATTAATAGGGAGTATCAATAGACTTCATCATTCAAGAAACTTAGTTGCAGCGCTAAATTAATTTTAAGCATTCGCTACAGTTTGATTAATCTTGAGAGGGGATAAGCAGAGGTAAAGAAATAACACAAACCTTATTTTAAGCGGAATTCTATGAACACACACTTAGCGGTGGAAAAATTATTTAGCTTCGTGAAACTAATCAAATCTGAAGCACACGCTAAAGGTAATAGAATCGCTCGCAGCACATGATGGCTTTAAGAGAGATAATAGATGAAAAGCGGCAGTTTCGCTTAAACACTATTAGGCATTGTAAAACCGATTATATATAATTTTGGCAAATCGATCATTCATTTGAAAGCTAAGAATGAACGAAACACATTACGAAGTACCAAAAAAACTAACTAATTAGCTCGTTAAAAAATTAAAAAAAATGGATAAATATGACGGATTATTGGATTAAAAGGGCTATTAAAGTATTTCCCCCACAGGGAAGCTGAGAAACAAAGGGAAAAAACGAGAAACTAAGCAAACTTTCCCTGACATTAAGGAAAATTAAGCGTTGATTTATAAAGCAAATATAATAAACCCTAGAAACCCAGTAATGAATAAGTAAAAATGTCTACTCATACTTTAAAAATCAACTCAAGAGATATAAAATCGGCCCGATCAACGCTAGAGATGGATAAACATTCGAAGATTTAGTGAGCAGTAGAGCATATAATTCACTTGCACATTCAAATCACGAGTATGGTTTGAGCATTAAAGATAAAAGGGGGCCAGAATTATAATGATTTATTGTAATTAACAGGACTACAAGAAGTCACTTTATCCAATATTAAAATTTTGACGAGCACCTCCCAATGAAAATCAAGTCCCATAAAACAACCTCTTCACAGAGGAATTCATGTCACTTTAACCTACTTTTTTCAATCTCTTCCGCTCACTTCTGTGCATAACACACCCATTCTGATTTACCCAACCACGCCAACACCGTCCTACCTGCGCGAATGACTGCAAATTCTGGGCCTATTCACAGTATGAGCATCTCTTGGGGTTTAATCAAGGATGATTCCTCACCTATTCATGACTCCTCTATGACATAGAAGTATCAGTGTTGGATCTCTAGTTCTCTTCTTGTGATATACTCATCCACTAGATATGCAAAAAATTTTATCAATTGCCATGAGCTAGCCCACTTCTGTGGTATTTAGAAATTGCTATACCTGTTCACGTCGTGCTTATGATAAATACTCACAATAAACTAGCGAATGTATCCTTAAAGGTATGATAAATTTGTCTGAAGAAGAACATTGTATAAAAATGTTACATAAGAATCAGTTAGGTCGAAATCTGCAAATATCTGAAAATTAGAGGCATTAGATGAAGATATATTGAAAGAAGAATCGGTTCAATAAAACAAACACCAGCCCTTTAATTATCGCCATCCAAATCTTTCTTCCCAGGTGAAAGTGAAACCTGTATACCTTAGCTATAAAGTACCTGTGAAAGTACCATAAAAGTAATTCCCAACAGGATTTTTTAATAGAAAAGAAATAACAATGAGTTAATTAGGCAATAACCGGAAGAAATGACGACTTGAGAAAGCTTGTTTTAGTTAAAAATATCATTAATCAATGATAAAAAGTAATAAAAACGAAAATTATAAATATGTAAATTTAAAGTAAACAATTTTCCAATGAGAAAGCACTGAAAAAGAAAGGGAATTAACATCCAAATATGAATAGAATTCGTAAATCAGGCACAGTCTATACCTGAAATTTCAAATAATGGAAATTAAGCACTCAAAATCTGACTTTATCATAAAGCTACTACAAAATAGGTATAACTAATAAAAAATGAAACGCGTTTTCACGTTGGGCAGCCGACCGTGAGGCCTCAGTGTAAGTCTAAGATGCTGGTTTAAAAAAAATGAAGAAAAATAAGAAAATTTGAACCCTTAATTTGAAAACACAACACTACACAATGAGACATTCAATAATGCGCTTCCCCACAGTTCAAAAAAAGGAAATTAAACGAAAATCTTCTTGAGAGGATTAAACGTAAATCACCAAATAACTGCAAAATCTACATAATTTTCCAGGTAGTAAAAGCAAACATGCCCATTAATCAGTCCCTTTGTTGAAAAGTTAAAAATGATTCACTATAACAAAAGGAATTAGGCCATATCTAGCACTCTGTATTTAAAGCATTGCACACAAATTCACAAAATTGGGTTCTATCAAGGAAACAATCGTACTCATTAAATTTTTTCTAAAAATAATGCAGTGTTGAGCCCTCAAGTAAGGGATATGTATTGATTATCGATGACAACATTTTGGAACGATTCTTAACTCAACTTAAAGACAAAGAGATGGTTTGTCAAAATTTGCATTGTTCGCTTAACCGAAGAGGTTGAAACATTGGGAGACAATAGAGGATAGGTCCCAATTCTCATTCTTTTTCCCACAAAGAACGAAAGAGGGTAGATATATTGGAAGTAAAGCAGTACTAATGATAACATGGCACAAATTTATTTGATTTCTGTTATTCAGGGTATTATTATTAAACTCATTAAATTGGAAAGCCAGATGAATAATATGATTTGACCAAAGCGTATATAGCTTTAATAATAAATTTACTAGGAAAATGAAAATAAGTTGTGAAATTTGCAAATCATAAAACTGACGTCATCGGCGCATTCCCGTGAACCTATTGGATGTGCGGCATGATTATTGCCTTTTCATTCAAAGCAGATGACCTATTTGACGAAAGATATGTTTAAAAAATATACCAGAGGCTGCAATAGGATTGCAAGCACAGCTTTCACTGAAATATATTGGAATGAAAAAGAGAATACATGAATGCATTCATAGAATTGCACAGGAGGGAAGAAACCGATAGGATGGTATCGCTGAAATTGTTTCATTCAATTAGTTAGAAAGTGAAATTGAAACAGAATACATCTGCTTTCAAAATTAATCCATACAGTTGTCAACAAACATTAAAAATTTAACAAGAATTTAAATCATTGCCCTGAGGAATACACATCTTTCGAACAAGTAGACTATGAAACAAGGTAATTAGCTAAGAACAGTAAATATCGAGTTATCCGACACAATTAATCAAAATGATTCGTTGTAAAAGTATCAAATTTTAATGCGCTAACATGGAAAGAAGCCGAGAAAATCATCAAAAAACTCCATGCTAATATATTAGCAAATGGAAACAACATATTCCCTTCCCACTTATGATTATCAGCTTTAAATATACAAGACACCAAAGCATAAACAAAATAAAGACTCACTTTGAGATTTTTTCCATCAAAAGGAAGAGATCCTGAGACCAGGGTGTAGAGAATGACACCAAGTGACCAAACATCCACTTCCGGTCCATCGTACTTGCGACCAAGGAAAAGTTCTGGAGCAGCATAGGGCGGTGAACCACAGAAGGTATCCAGCTTGCGTCCAGAAGAGTAGTTATTAGAAAACCCAAAGTCCGCGATCTTCAAGTTCATTGATTCGTCAAGCAGGAGGTTTTCCGCCTAGAACACAACAATTGTAGTGCAAACAGATTGCAATGACAACGTGTGGATTGAAAGATGAGTATAATAAAGCACAATGGCAAATAAATTCCTACGTTCTAAGCTAATTATTACAATTCTATTAAAAGGGCAATAAGGAGTGTTTACAGAAGTGAGTTTTAATTGAAAATCGATGCGTGTTTAGATAATCTTCTAGAGTATTCTAAACCGCTCGGGACTCCATTGTCGAACTTGTGACTTGAATTTGTGCGATAGTTCTTGGGCAAATACTTCATATTAAGTGATCATTTAACAATTTTTTCTCTAGTAGAACCGGTATCTAAACCTTAAAACGTATAGATAATTTGACACACTCTCAGACTTTGAGAACTTCATTAGCAATTAGTGTTAAATCAACTTGAACTTCTAAAGAAGTAGTGGGGGATAATGCACTCAAACAGAGCCACAAAAATTCCTTAATTAAAACTTTGGAAATATAAGGAAAGGTTCGTGACTAATGCCTCCCCCAAACCTTAAAATATGTACTTTTTAATAAGTACCTTTCGAATAAATAATCTGACTTATGCACATTAACAGTTTGTAGAAAGCTGGTTAAAGCCACCAACGATATATTAGCACATAAGTACGTTAGCAATTTCTTCAATAAAGCAGTTCATTCACTGCCCAGAGACGTTTTTTGCATATCGTTCCAAAACAACAAACACTCGAAAATGCAGAAATGAAATAGTACTAGTGTGCCTGAAAAATACCCTAGCGTACGTGAATGGCCAAATATGGTGACATTCCGAGCCACCAAAAGGCGCAGTGATTCGATCAAGATGGAATAATATTTACTGTCCGGAAGTGGGAGGAGGATTTATTAGTAATTCATACGAACTGGGAAAGTTAAGCGGGTTATTTAAGTAGAATATCGAAAATTGTGGGTACGAATTTAAAGCTCAAATTTTGGCGCCACTTTTATTTGAAATCAGTCATTTCATTAAATTGTAAAAATTAACCCAATTACTAAAATTGCATATAAGTAGAAAGGTCAACAAATCCCCGATTAGTGTTAGCATAAATCTTAGTTCTAATAGCAGAAAGTCCGATCAATTGATTGATCAGTACATATGGTTACTGACCAATCAAATAGCAGTTAAATTAACTCCAACCAACCACAGTGTGGATCAAAGAAAATGGCATTGAGTTGATCAAATTAGCTAGTTATTCGCACAAATAAAGAATTCACAACATTAACATTTTTACTAGTTCCTCGCGGTTTAGGAAAAATAAACAAAGAAAATGTCGAGCAAAATTTTAAAGTGATTGTTCTGGTTGGAAAGTAATTGGTTTTGTAATCCATTCATAATTCCACTAAAGGAGGTTCTAATGTACATTTGAATTACTATGAGTGGGTCAGAATTGACTGTTACCTAAGTTTAAATTTGTGTTGATAGAGTTTGTTGAAAGCATGAAATCATCTCTAGGTTCTTCCAACTCCTGAAAAGGTCAAAGTCGTACAATTACATCCCTCATGTCTTCATAGATTCCAACTGCCTTTGTCAAATCTATATTTATAAAGATCCTACTTCCCTCCAAGAGACAGCCATTTAATCTTCACTTCTTGTCCTAGAAAATCATTGCATCTACAATGCTCCTTAAAGGAGAATATACGCATGTAGTACCTAATCGTCCTAATTCGCGTAATTTAATATATTTACCTTGGCATTTTGGCTAGCAAGTGTTCGCGCATTTTGCTTTTAGTAGTTCAAACTAAAGAAAGGAAACACCGAGTTACATCTGCTTAAATGCACTCTTAACGTGCAGACACACTGTTTGGGAACATAAGGAAATGGCATATAGAGCTATAATTATTAATACAAATGGACAACTCAATGTATCTAGAATTCTATTGATGACTGATGATGCAGAGCGCTTCTAGATAGCCAACGATTTATTGAGCTCTTATTTAACAGTTCTCTTTGTTCAAGTGTTAACCCTTTATTAAAACTGGAATGAACTTTTTGTTTAGCTATGGATGTTGAATGATAACCTGCATCAGATATAGACTCACCTTGAGATCACGGTGTACAATGTTCTTGGCGTGGCAATATTGCACGGCGGATACAATTTGACGGAACTTTATTCGCGCATCCTTTTCCTTCATCTTTCCATGAGTTACGAGATAGTCAAAAACTTCACCTGGAAATGCAAAAATAAATTTATCAACAAATTTATAGTTGTTCTACGGATTTGTTTCTATTAACTGGGAGAAAAACGAAATGGGTTGAAAGAGAAATAAAACCTAATATTAAAATCTTAACAAGGAACAAAAAAGAGTTTTATAATCAATGAAACTACGTGTATTTGAGATTTATTCACTTATTTATCTTCGTCTCGTTAGAACGTAATAACTAGCCCTCAAAATACGCCTGGGTATATCAAGAGGAAAAGCGATAATATGACGCAAACAAGACTTGCGCTAATTGGATTAGCCACAATAATAGACTGATAACTCAGAGGTTAAAAATGATAGTGAGAGCATCTTTGTGACAGATGCACGAATTGAACTGTGTTTGGGAGGGGTGGGGGGTCAATTATTACTGTTTGAAAAGAAAGGGAGTATTTGGGCCGTACTATTGATAAATGCCAATCATTTCGAAGGGCCGACAAAAAAGTATGATGAACGGCACTTAGACTTATTGTTTCATGACATTTAAAGATTGTGGACATTTCCGAAATCGAATAAACTCTACCGCCATACCTAAATCTCTATTTTGTAAATAGTAGGATTTAGGCTTTTGATAAATTATATCCCTTTAACTTCGACCTTTAAAAAATAGTTGCTGTTTGACATTCCTCAGAATTTAATTAGTCAAGTATCGCATAACTATAGAACTTGAATTTTAAGTTTTCGTCTAAAAATAAGCACTTTCAGATTAAGAACTTTATGCCAAGTCATAGGCATGGAAGCGATAGAATCCCCCCCCCCCCCCAATTTCCCTTATAAAAACACATAAAGTGAACTTTACAGATTTCACCAAATCCCAAATGTCACAGAAGTGCATATGCGGGTAATATTAATGTCATAGGTAAACAATCAAGTACCAGACATTCGAATACCTTCCATGGATAGAAAACAGGCACAAATGCAACACATAGGCGACTCAACAAAATTGCCTTTGTCCTTTTGTCAAACAGGACAGAAAATGGCATTCATAATGGTAAAAAATTTAGTTAGAAAAAGTCGAAAGCTGTAGTAATGGCAAATCTTTAGTTTTCAGCCCAATACTTCGTTTCACTTCAAATAGACAACGTGGCTTTGAAATTTATGCGTGACTCAGCTAGCGAAAAAAAAGAGGCTTGACGTATTCACGCGCAGTGAAGTTTTATTGTGTCCCCCCCCCCACTTGGTTTGCGTGTACTATTGGCTACAATTCAGATCTAACGTCTGACTCTCCCCCTTTTTCGAAGATCAAACGTAATTCGAGAATTTCTCTGAGAGCGAAATTAACTCACTTTCAAAGTTACATTAATATGTCTCCAATTAGAACAAAGTTTAAGTTGGGAAGTGAATCAATTGTACGAGTGGAAGATTAGTTAGTTTTGAACACCCCAAGGTAAGCAAAATCCAAATGAAATTTTGAAAGTAAAAGCCGTCGACAGTCCGATTTGGACAGACAAAAAAATTAGAGCGAAAATTCATTGCTGAAGCCTTCCTAGGCACTTCAATAAGCACGTGCACAAAACTAGTTTCTTTGAAAGTTTAAGGTAATCAGTAATTTAATTCACGCAAACTAAAAATTAATTTCTGAAAAAGTCCATATTGAAACGCTGCCTAAACTTTAACTTAAATGCGTGCATAATTTTGCGCAGGAGAAATTCAAATTAATCAATAATTCACTTTGGCTTAGAGAAAATGTTTGCTTTAAAATGAAAAGTCGAATGTTCGCGAAAAACTGGGGCGAAAAAATCAGAATTTAGTGGTAGCAAACCCTCACGTAATTCCAGTTCTATATGTGATTTTCGGGCAATGCAAAAGATCCATTTAGAGATAGGTGATTAGTAATGGTAGTAATAGAATAGCATATTTTCGGACAGCTAAAAGTTTTATGACCTTTACAAAGGGCATAAATAGAAGTCTGCAGGAAGTGTCGGCCATGGTAGTGATTAGTTGGTGGCTTGTTGGTTATGGAGTTAAGGCAGGATGGTTAAATGTTACCATAGCAGCGTACGAAAGGTATAAACACGCAAACATGATTACTGATTCAGTTGAGAAAGCTGTGACGAAGCACATAAGCATGACAGGCTGTATTACTACCTGCCTAACACAATATTTACGTTACCACATCCGACTACCGCTTTGATGAAATATAGGATTTTAAATATTGTATTCAGCATTGATGCGTGGAAGGCTAAAACCATAAATACGGCAAGATATGAGAGGTTCTTATAAATTATGGCAAATGGAACGGACAATGGGGGAAAAAATAGCACCAACGTATAACCAGAAAATTGAGAAAGTTAACAGAAGTTAAGTTGTTCTACAATATC